GAGAGAGATCAGCTGGAAAGGAAAACAGAGAGAGAGAGCGAGAAAGAAAGCGAGAGAAAGAGAGAGAAAGAAAGAGCTGAGAGAGCTGAGAATATTGTTGCGTCCTCACCAGGAGCTGGTCTGCGTTACAGTGAGGATCTGGACGAGGCGGTCCAGCAGGGGCATGCAGATGGGTCCGAGCAGAGCCTCAAAGCTGGGCTGCATCAGCTCGCTGAGCCCCTTCATCAGACTGCTCTCACAGCAGTACACCTTATTCTGAGGGGTCACCATGTATGGGATGAACAGGTAGTTAGCCGCACACGTCTGGTAAGAGAGAGAAAGAGAGAGAGATAGAGATAAAGAGAGAGACAGAGAGAGAGAGAGAAAGAAAGAAAGAAAGAAAGAAAGAAAGAAAGAAAGAGAGAGAGAGAGAGAGAGAGAGAGAGAGAGAGAGAGAGAGAAAGAGAGAGAGATAAAGAGAGAGACAGAGAGAGAGAGAAAGAAAGAAAGAAAGAGAGAGAGAGAGAGAGAGAGAGAGAGAGAGAGAGAGAGAGAGAGATCAAGTTTTGCACGCCTTGCAAAAAAAAAAAATATATATATATATATTCCACTACTAGAACTGAATCACTGAATCACAACTGAATCAAATCAATGAAAGGTCACAGATTCACACCCTCACTGAGGACACCTTGAACTGTTCTGAAATTAGTTAAGAAAAAAACACATGCACAGGCTTCATGAACCCCTATAGCCATGTGCTGATACTTCAGGTATATTTAGCTTCAGCACTCAGCTTCATGTTCATCATAGTGTCTTTAGTGATGCTTTGTAAAGGATCCCCAACTCAATACACTCCATTATTGAAGGGGCTGGTCTAGAGGTCTAGAAAAACAACTAAAAACAACAGATGTCAACTTATTTAAATATCATGTCCATATTTTACATAAGCGCATTCATTTTCACCCAGCCCAAAAGAGCTATACTTACAGCAAATCACCAAAGATCTGCCCATTTAGGAAATCTGTCTGCTGATTTATCTGTCCCCAATATACAGTGCATCAATAAAATGCAGCCAATACAAAGTGATGCATGTAAATCCTCCTACGTTCATTAATGTGGTCTTTGTGATTGTTCCAGTCTGACTCTAGCTAACCACAAGTTATTTTTCTTGCCTATGCGCAAGTTTGTTTTTCTTGCGCAGACGTCATGCTCAATGGCCTGTGACTGGTCATTCTGCATATTAATCAAGTGGCCCTTTCCCTTCATAGCTGGCAGTTCTCAAAATATACTCAGTCTGGCTTTATTTCCACACAAATAAAGTGCTTTTGGGTTTCATGTTTAGCAGAAAAACTCATTCAGTTCTCTCCTCCTGCCTGTTCACTACAGTTTTTACCACCACTGTATTTCAAGAAATGTCCTCAATTAGTTGATTGCTGTCCACAGCGCCAACTAGTGGATTTATGAGTTGACTAGTTGACTAGTCCATTGAACCCCTATTACAAGGCAAAGCAGCTCTTTTACTGCCCTGTTGCGGCTCCACACCAGAATTAGATTTTTAGGTAAAAATAAAATAATCCTCCTTCGCAGTGAAATAAAGCTCTGCTGATCGTTCAACACAGTTTTAACACTAATCTGTCTTAAATGCTGGAGTTAATGTATAACTGCTAATTCACCCTTCAACGCTGAAGCTTGGCACAGACTGCTGGTCACCATAGCAACAACAACAATCTCATCTAGCGAACACCAACGAAATGGCAAAAAGAAAGACTGAAGATGAACATTGATAATTTGGAGAACGGACTTATTCGCATTTATAATCACTCCAGCTGGTTTTCTGGTACGTTTAATCTGCGTTTAAATGAGAAACTGTCAAACAATAAAAGGTCGCAAGCCAGCTCATAAAAAGTCGAACGTTGAGAGACATTTTACAAGAAGCTTTTCTACTTCTGAGGCCAGACTTGCGAGAAAAGCAGCTTTAGCGGAGTTAAAGCTTAAAGCAGAGCAAAGTTTGCGTTTCCGTTTATATTTTTTAGCCTGATCTAGTACATCAGCACATACTGAGACATATTTACAGCCAAGATGGTAAAATGGACATAAAATGTTGTGGCTCCCAAGGTGGTTTGATTTTTGTTGAAAGGACAAAATGGCTCTTCTTAACATTTGGGTTGCCGTCCCCTGACCTAGGCCTTAAACCTGCGTATCGTCAGTGTCTGAACAAAATCTTGTATCTCCAAAATGTAACTTAACAGGAGAAGGTAAACATTCTTAACTTTTAATGTAAATTAATTAATAATATTTTACCTCTTTTTTTCTTTTTTTTTTTTACTTACACATCATAATCTCTTCCTTGGAAACCTGCTTCATGATTACTTAGCAAACCAACAAAGCAAACATGCACATTTGTATTAAAGCCAAGCTTTAGACAGACAGCGGTATTCTAGCACACACGGCACTGAAGCTTTATTGAACTGTACCCATATTGATTTAACTGAATTGAACAAGGGGGAATAATACGTTAGGCATTAGAAGGAACAGCATGCAATGCTGAACGAAGGAACATCGTGTAATGCTGAGTGAACATGACTAAGCAAGTCTATGAAGACAAAAGATACAACAGGGTTGACAGCATGAAGGAACCCATGTGCTTCAGTTTACAGAGATATGGAGGGAAAGGGGAGGGAAGAAAGAGAGATACAGGCAATAACTCAAACATCACAGTCAGGAAACAGTACTGACAGCCAGAGAGCATTTCAGCACCAGAGGCCTCCAGTACAACATGTACTCTCTGATCTGCTCTACACTGTGAGAAAAAAAGGTACACTCTTACAGAAGATGGTGCTTCAAGGGTTCTTTAGTAAAGAAAGTGGTTTTATGTGGAACTATGAACACTCAAAGAACTCTCTGCATGATTGAAGGGTTCTTTGCATCATGAAAGCGTTCTTCAGATTGATGTAAAATGTGCTGTAGATGGTTCTGTATAGAACCTTTTTAAAAATAGTTCTATATAGCAACCAAAAGGGTCATTCTATTGTTATGGTGTCAAGCTTGTAACAACAGAAGAACACTTTTGGGTGCTACATAGAACCCTTTTCAAAAATATTCTATATAGAACCATCTATAGCACATTCATGCACATTTTTTCATCAATCTGAAGAATGCTTTCATGATGCAAAGAACCCTTAAATCATGCAAAAGGTTCTTTGAATGTTCATGGTTCTATGGTTCTGAAAATGGTTCTACATAGTACCCAAAAGCGTTCTTCTATTCTTATGGTGTCAAGCTTGTAATGACAGAAGAACCCTTTTGGGTGCTATATAGAACCCTTTTCAAAAAGGTTCCATATAGAAGCATCTATAGCACATTCATTCACGTTTTCCAACAATGTGAGAAACCCCTTCATGATGCAAAGAACCCTTTAATCATGCACAGGATTCTTTTAATGGTTCTATATAGAACCAGTTCGAAAATGGTTCTACTCAGCACCCAAATGCGTTCCTCTATTGTTACAATGTCAAGCTTGTAACAACAGAATAACCCATTTGGGTGCTATATAGAACCCTTTTCAAAAAGCTTCCATATAGAACCATCCATAGCATATTCATGCAGCTTTTCCTTGAGAACCCTTGAAGCACCATCTTTTTAAAGAGTGCACTGCACAGGTACGCTTTTCTTTCAAGGTACAAACAATGTAAATGTTCCCTCAAAGGTACAACAGTGGTTTTAAGGTCCAACTGTGCACCTTAAATAAGTTTCCCCAGGGGAAAAGTACATATTTGTACCTTTTCATAACTGAATGTTTTAAAACAGAACAATAAAGAGAGTTAAGACAGGGTGTGTGGAGTCAATGGAACACAATGAACTTATTTCTCCTAATTAAAGGTACCCTTGAAGGTACCACCCCAGTGACAAGAGGGGTATCGCTCCAATGACAGTCTAGTACCTTTTTTTTCCGAGAGTGTATGTATTCTCCCGTCTCATGAGACCTATACTTAGCTGCATCACCTGATGCCATACCAGAAGCTCATTTATATTTTAGAACATCAGGGACAAGCAGAGAGGTAGACAGAGAGAGAGAGAGAGAGAGAGAGAGAGAGAGAGAGAGAGAGAGAGAGAGAGAGTGTATGTGCATGTATATGTAAGATGTCATTCAGTGACAGATTTAGAAAGCAGCCAATCTGAAAATACATTTGTCATAAATCTGGAATCAGTGCTTTAACCCTCAGAAGTTGAAAAAGCCAATGCTGTACTGTATAAACATCAACTTTCATTTATTTCATTTCCTGTCAAAACAGTAAAGAATTTACTCATTTTCCATGAGATATTTCTGAGGAAGTGTAAGATAATCCACTTGCATAGGAAGGAGAAAGTAAGAACAAAAGTTGAAAAGCAAAAAAAAGAAGCTGGTGTTGTTCTCAGAACAACGGACTGACCAGCACAGAGTCTGTCACTGAATAGGTTAGCGGATTATTTGGATCGTGAGAAGAAGAAAATGCAACCAACTTCTAAGAATGATCTTTGCAAGTGTGAGAAAATATCCCTGCAGATTTGTTGCTTTTTTTCCTGATGTGGCAAAATTAATAAATTTGATACTCCTAAAAAAGATGGTTCTTCAAAGGTTCTTTAGTAAAGAAAATGGTTTTGTATAGAACCATGAACACTCAACAAATCCTTTGCATGATTAAATGGACATTTTTATGGTGAAATGGTTCTTCAGACTGATGGAGAATGTGTTGTATATGGTTCTACATAGCACCAAAAAGGGTTCTTCTATTGTTACAGGCTTGAAATCGTAACAATAGCAGAACCTATTTTGGTGTTATATAGAACCGTTTTCAAAAAAACTCTGCAATCTGACCCTTTAATCATGCAAAGGGTTCTTTGAGTGTACATGGTTCCATATAGAACCATTTTCTTTGCTAAAGAAGAACCATCTTATTAAGTCTGTACTTAATAGCTGTTCTGAGCAGAAAAGGATGATCTCTTACTTTTGCAGAGCACTGTAGGCAGTTTTCAAATCAAGTTTTTAAAAATAAGAAGTTACACGTAACCTGGCTTCAATATCATTCGGGATTATTTGGTGAAAGGAGAAAATGCAACCAACTTCTAAGACTGAACTTTGGAGAAAACTTTCGTGGGAAAATATCCTTGACCTGTACTTAACAGCTGTTTTGTCTGGAAATTAAATGAACAAAAGGTGGTTTCTGATTTTACACTGTACTTTATAAGTTATTCCTCACTATTAGTTCACTTAAACTTCTGGCAAAAAATGCAGATTCTTAACTTCATACCACATTTGTGATTGTATGTATTTTATTATGGTTTAAACTGATGGAAAGTTTTGTTTTGATTAGTCACATTTGTCTTATTTGAGAGAAACCGTGGCTGCGTGTTCCAACCAATGAGGGCCTATATCATACATATCATAAATACAGTCCATGGTAGTCTGCCAGAAGTGCTGAAGATATCACTTTAAAATCCATTTAAAAGCTGTATTTGAAAGAAAAGGCTACAACTGTGGATTCTATCATAGACACATACGATATACATGCTGTAGCTGGGCTTTAGCCTGGAATTGCAGAGTGTTTGGAATATTTTGAGACTTTAACAGTGTTAAACAATGAGCGGTGCTAAAGTTGCTAAGGTATTGCTATGTATCCAAACTGGATGCTAAGGTGTTGTTAGGTGGTTTTGTTTTTCATTCATCAAGGTACGAACAGTGTAAACATACATGCAAAGTACAACAGTGGTTGGCTGCTAAGGTGTTGCTAGGTGGTTGCTATAGAATTCCTGGTGGTTGCTAAAGTATTGTTAGGTATCCCAACTGGATGCTAAGGTGGTTGCTCGGTGTTGTTAGGTGGTTGCATTTTTCATTCATCAAGGTACGAACAGTGTAAACGTACATGGAAAGGCACAACAGTGGTTGGTTGCTAATTGTTGCTAGGTGGTTGCTATGGAATTCCCGGTGGTTCCTAAGGTATTGCTAGGTATCCCAACTGGATGCTAAAGTGTTGTTAGATAGTTGCTATGGTTAGGTATTGCTAGGTTTTTGTGATGGTATCCCACATGGTTGCTATGGTGTTGCTTGGTGGTTGCTCTGGATTACCAGGTGGTTGCTAGGATGTTGCTAGGTCTTTGCCATCATATCCCTGGGGTTACCTGGGGTTGCTAGGTTGCTGCTATGATATTTCAGGTGGTTGCTAGATGGTTGCTGGTGGTTGCTACGAGATCTCGTATGATTAATTGGGTGTTTCTAATGAATTTGTGTCATTGTGATTTAAACTGGGTGCACAAACTTCTGCCCCCATTCATTCTCATGAGAAAAAAATGTCACTTAACAATGTACGGAAACTATATGTCCAATCAAAAAGTTTACAAGCACAGCATTCCTGATCAGACTGAACATTCCAGAGTTGTAATAGTGTCAATATCTCAAACACTGTGGAACGAATTGGCAGACAAAAATTCAGCAAAAGAAGAAGAATACATATTGGATAACGATAGTGTTGCACATTGCAACGGACACTTAATAACTGAGTAATAGGTCAGCAGTTTAAGGTTTAATAGGAGTTCACGGCATGTTCTAAGCCCAACCTTTCACCTTCTTTGGAACTGGAGCTGTGCCTATCACAGTCTATCTATGCCAAACACTGCTACTCCAAGGCAAATTTCCACAGCTAAACCTGACAACTGCAGTGAAGCCACTGAACAGGAAAATATATCAAAAGAACAAAGAAAGGGAAGAAACACATTTTCTTTGGCAGGATAAGGCTTAGTCACGATAGAGACGTCATACAGAGGATAGCAGGAGAAAAATGAGGCCTGGAGGAGGAGGAACAAAAAAGAAAAGGCACAGAACAGGAAGGTGCAAAGAGGCTGAGAGAGAGAGGGTAAAGAGTGGCAGGAACGGAGAGACAGAGAGAGATGGAAAGAGCCAGAAAGAGGGGGGTTGAGAGGGATGCAGGGTGGGGGGGTGAATCACACTCTTGCTGTTAGAGAGAGAGAGGACAGTGTGTTTCCTGCTACCTGCAGCTCAAAGCCATCTGATCCCCTAAAGCCACTTATAGCCTCACAAAGCCCTACTAAACAACTCACTAACCCGGCTCTACCCAGCTGCCCTGAGAGAGCGAGAGAGAGAGGTGTAAATACTGCAGTACAGCTTTATCCTGTGGGACTGGTGTCATTTTAGTTAATGCAGTAATAAATACTACAGAAATATTTCATAAAATCAATATTTCAAAACTATGTCAAATTTCTATTCGATGTCTCAACGGCTTAATAAACACATTCCACCCATTTATATTTTAGAGGAGATCACTGATTGGTGGCGTGGAAGCTTACCGACAGGTGGCACTGATTAGAGGGGAAAAATCAGAGCCAGAAAAACTAAGAATAACAGCAGCCCAACAACACTTACCACAGAATTAGTGATGCATGACTCTGGAGTCGACTCTGACTCTTAACTCCTGCCGCTAGAGTTGACGGAGCCGACTCCACTTAAATTTAACCAGGACAGCAGCAGAGCCGGTGATAAAGGGATACACTTAAGATTAAACCATCTTAAACATAAAGGTTATCCAATTTTTGAGGAGCTATAGATTACACGATAAAAAATTGTAACTTATACCACGTAATATCAAGCAGAGCAACAAATGATCACAGCTGACTATTGTTTCAGCTCGTTTTACCACCATTTCACGTAATGAGTAGCGAGGGGAAACCTGTTACTGTAGTCACAGCTCGAAAAGTAACCATTTTCAAACTTTCTCAATTCTTTGTTGCTCGAAGGTTTTAATTCCGGAGCTGACGGATGTTATCTTCTTCCACTTTTCACGAGGCTAAAGTTGGCTTTGCATTCGCCAGCTTCTTATTTCAACTTTTCCGTCCCACCTTAAATAATGCAGCAGTTACCTTAATAGTGTGTGGAAGCCAGAATGTGACTGCAGCACCATTTAAGGTGGAACAGAACATCTGAATAAGGCCCAATTCCAGTTCTTATTTCTACCCTACCCCTTGTTTTTGAGTGTCACCTTTCCCCCTGGAACTGAGTTACAAGGGTTAGAAGGTCAATGTCCCCTATGGCACCCCCCCACCGCTTAAGTTTGCACCAATGTATTTAAGCAAAACTTGCTTTTCATACTATGTACTGCAGAAGATGCTTATAAGCTAAATATATAGAAGTATCAGGACATTGCTATTTTATGATAATGAAACTTTTGTCATTATTTCTTATTAAATTGAAAAGTAAATATGAGATAATTTAAAAGAAGGCAGTGTGTGCCCAATCTTTCGACTGTGTGTGTGTGTGTGTGTGTATACTCACAGTGTTCTTATGGCACACAATCTCCTGCAAAAGAAACACATCAGATTTGTATGAATTTGAGAAGCAGCTTAAAGCAAATAAGCAAATAAATCCAAGCAACAGCTTAGAATCCTTTGTTAATGAACATTATGCAATTCTTGCAGCTCCCATGACCCATAAGCAAGGGCTGGGACTTAATAGAACATGTTCGATTTCAAAGAAAACGCAACTCAAATAAAAATTCCCTATTCACGAAATACGCAAAAATTCTGGTCTGTGTGAACCAGGAGAGGGGAGGCAGAAATGTTGGTGGGATTTTTCCCTTCTCTACACTTCCCTCATTGAGCACCGCAGTCGAAGGCGCTGGAGCTAAAATGACTCATTCTGGGGTGTTAATGCATCAGTACAACACCATTAAAACACTCCAGCTTTATATAGAACATTATAACGAAACCACAGCCGTGCAACGGTGGAAGCCGCAGGTTTGAGCGCTGACACACACTAAGCAAAAGCTTTTCTACAGTGTGGCACTGCCTTCAGCACACCAATGCACACCATAGATAAGCACAACAAGCAGACCAATATATTGAGATTTAACCTAGAAGTTGCAGTAACCACTGCATGGGGAGATTTTAGATAAATTTCATTACAATGTACAATGGTAAATAGAATACAGTGTAAAACAGAATTAAAATTCAGTAAAAACTCCAGCCTTAAAAGTGTTGTTTACCTCAAAAGTGAAGAGTCTGATTCATTACATGATCTTTGCCTTTCTGGGTGGGGTACTGTCTAAAATAATTTTCTCGTGATGCTGTAAGCACAGTAAAATCCCCTGAATCTTCAGTGATCACATCATGGTTTTTATTACTTTATGATATAATTATTTATCAGATAAAGCTCTGTGGAATTCAGTCAAACGCGCAGATTTGTATTGGTCATCTTATTTTGTATTGCACTAGAAGCGGACAGTTTGTGAACAAAGCATTGTTAAGGTGTGTGTGTGTGTGTGGGTGTGTATATATATATATATATATATATATATATATATATATATTCTAAATTAACACATCACTGTTTAACTTTATCACCTGTCTGTAAAGCACTTTGAGCTGCCACCGGCATGAAAAGTGCTATATAAAAAAAAGATAATAAAGGGGTGTGAGTGCGGGTTGAGCCACCTGTAGAGACTGCAGTGAGTCTGAGTTGGAGTCACAGTACAGGATGATGTTGTTGGCCATGCTGAAACTCTCCCTCACTCCCAGGTGATAGAACAGAGATGGCTGCCTGAAAGCATCGGTCATCTCCACCACAGCAATATCTGCACAGAGAGAATGGAAACAAGTTAAAAGGGAATTCGATTGACTTTTCTAAATTTCTGCATAATTAAACGTTAAGATGAAAAAAAAGTCTTTCAGAGTGGTTCAATGTAAAATGCTCCATTCTAGAGAGATGATCAGAGTCAGAATGGGTCACAGTGGTAGTGATAGGAACCAGATGTGCCTGAAGCATGTAAAAAATAAAAAATAAAAAATATTCAGTTTTTACTGAAGAAGTAAGCAACCCTTGTAAGTAAGTAACCTTTTAAGTTCAGTGAATTTTTAAGTTCACTGAACTTGAAACGATAAAGTAAAACAGATTATTGTTCTAAGTTACTATTAGAAGTGATGACAAAAACATGGTGTGATTTTATATTGAATCCTTAAACCTAAGGCCACATTTCAATCCCTCACTCTTATAACTAAATAAGTTATGTATTGCTTTTGTAGCAGTTACTGAATAATTAATAGTAGTTAGTGTATAATAGGTTTTAAGATCAATAATTGAATAATAAGCCTAGGATTCCAGGGGTTAATTATTTCTCAGATCTTAAAAAAGAAAAGACTAAAAAAACAGGCCAAAAACTCATTGACTGAAGAAATCCTTAAGCCATGTACTCGTCAAACACTGAAAAAAAAAAACCATGTAGTAGAATTAATAATCTCATTTAAATGCGTGAATAATTTCTACAGGATTAAAACATATCAACACAGTTTTGTATTTGTCTTACTTTTGGCAACAATTATGTTGATACAGCATGTTTAATTCCTGTGGAAATGGTGCACACCTTTAACTAATGTAAATTCAATTCATTACTTTATTCAGTAGGATGGAGGTAGCAGCAAGAGACGAGAGGTTTGCTGTAACATACATACAGTACTGTCCAAAAAGCACCCTTCATTAATTAGTGTATCCACCCTTTGCCTAATCACATCTTCCATTCTCATCCAATAACTTGCTTTCAGATGTTTACATTTTGCAAAGAAACCTGCAGGGATATTTTTCCACATCAGCGAAGTTTAGTCATAGAATTTGGTTGCATTTCCTTGTGTTTCAACACATTCAATAAAGACATTCAAGAGAAGATCTTCTATAGGTCTTTTCCTACCATCAACACCTCCTACCACATCTGCAGGGCCGCCAGCATTGTTGACGACCCCTCCCACCCCTCACATGGATTCAAAAAGTACCAGAGTATCTGCTCCACCACCACCAGACTCCACAAAACCTTTCTCCCTGAAGCAGCCAGATCACTGAATGCACTGATGACCCCAACATACACCTAGACTAATCTAGACCCCTTCCAACATCCACCACAGACTGATCACACACCCATTTACCGTCACTGCACACCTGCACTTTAAATTCTTTAACTATTTCAATCTGCTAGGAGACCTCAATCTTTCTGTACAGTTCATAGTGACAATGTCTGCACTAGTTCCTTCATCACTAACATGCTGCTTGATGTCAGTCCATGTGTATATGTGAGTATTTTCATGTATATGATGCCCAATTGTAGATATTGATTTGTTGTCCTGTCTAGTATTTATTATCTGGGGTATTTATTGTATATTCTGCCCTCATTTCACACATCAAATATCTCCACTGTATGTAGTCCTGCTTAACCCCTTAACATTCAAGGCTTATTATTTATTAACTACATGGACTTCAATGCCAACTAATGGAGCTTCTCTTAGGTTATAGAAGTGTGTGATATAACCTGGCTTGATAAAGGGTTAAAGTACTGCTGTCGTGTGTTGCACCATGTGGCCTGAAGAACGACATACCGCTTCAATGTATGCAAATTATATTGTGAAATGACAATAAAGACCACTTGACTTGACTTAAAGTTTGGTTTGTTTTTTCACAAAGTATGCAAATATACATTCTACACATTCTGAGGTAATGGGTTTTTATCTATTGCCTTGGTTTTTCTTTCCAGGAGACTTGCTTTTAGTTCTTTTAATAAATCTGCAGGGACATTCTTCCACACCTCCAAAGTTCAGTCTTAGAAGCTGGTTGCATTTTCGGCCTTTCATGATCCAAGTGATCCCAAAGACATTCAGTGATGTTGAGGTCTGGACTCTGAGGTAGTCAGTCCATTGTTCTGAGAACACCTGCAGGTTCTTCAATTTGCAAATCTTCCTTTTTGTCTGTTTCCTTTTCTCAGTAAGGGCTTCTTAACAGCTACACATCCTTTCCAGCACACAGCAATTTGTCAGCGAGTTGTCTTCTCACAGTGGAAGGACGGAGAGAAACACCTGTTGATGTTTTCAGATCAGAAGCAGCTTGATTTTTTCCTCTCTCTCAATGATGACAGCTTTGTGTGCTGTTTATATGATGGGGACAGTTCTGGTGGTCTACAGTCTTGCAGGTGGCTGTTACGATTCCCATTTTTTCTGTATCTTTTAAGCATTTTTTTGAACTCCAGTTTTGGAAACTCCTGTTGTTACATTCATTTTCTTTTGTTTTTGCACTTCCTCAAGGAAGCAGACTGTCTTATGTCTCCTCAGAAATATCTCTTGAAAATAAATAACGTGTACTAAGTGGACATTTTGACTGGAAATCAAATAAATGAAGTGTGCATTGTGACAGTTCTATCATATACTAACTTTGCTCCACAAATAATCTGCATATTTAACTAGTAAGAAAATAAAGGCATGATACAGTCATTATACAGGTCTGATGGTGGTATTTGTTTGTGTGTGTTTGTGTGTGTTATTGTGTTGAGGGGTTGATTTCCATAGGGCCTGTCCCCACAGCAAGTCATCAGGCACTGCATGTAAATATCGGCAGGAAGTCATTTCCTCTGCTGTGTGGTGTGTGTGTGTGTGTGTGTGTGTGTGTGTGTGTGTGTGTGTGTGTGTGTGTGTGTCAAAACCTCTGTTAATCTGCTCGTTAAGAGGAAACAACTCAGACAGTAAAAGTGAACATCATTAACTGTCTGTCACACACATGCACATGTGCACACACACATAGACTCCTAAAGCGTCCTTATCCCAGCAAGTTTTCCTCAAATTTTTTAAATGAAAGAGTCTGATTTAGTTTGTAAACACTGTTAATAAAAACAATGAAATGAAAATTAACTTTAGATAAACTGTACCCAGAGAAGTTGGCAGTGTTTCCACTTTGCGTAGTAGAGTCGTTTTAACTTAACTGTGTTTTCCCAGGAAGAAGCTAAGGTATTGCTAGGCCTTATTTGTAGACGTAGCGATTAGCTGTGTTTTCCCAAGCATTTGCGGTTATATTAATTACAGAGGCGTGTCTGTTTTTTATGCAGTGCCATCTGAGGGATTGACGGTTACGGGCATTCAGAATTGGTTTTCAGTCTTGCCCTTTACACACAGAGATTCTCTGAATCTTTTAATAATGTTTTTTTTAAAAATGCTCCTTTGTCATGATATCATCTGTTACGTATTCACCTGTTAATCTGTGGAAAATTCCAAAGTGCATTTGATCATTAGACAAACCTTTTAGGGATATGTTGCAGGCATTAAATTTGGAATTAGCATTTACAACTTATTAGAATATTTACAAAAACAAATAAAGTTGATAAGGTAAAACAATAAATATTTCTTCTTGTTGCTGATTTCAATTAAATACCTGTAAAAGACAGTTAGCAAATCACTGCTTTCTGTTTTAATTTGCATTTTACCTTCTATCCCCACTTTTCTAGAATTGAATCTGTAATAAAAGCAACTTCCATCAAGCAGATTTTCAGTGCACTGTAAAGGCCTTTACACACAGAGCGCAATTTATTCATGCAATTTATTTGGACAACAATAACTGAATTCAAGAAACTGATATCTTGCACTACGAACACAATTTGTAGATGGCAAAAATGCAACATTTCATTCAACCTCTGCCAACATGAACTCTCTGACCAATCACAGTTGTCTCTGGTGTTGGTCTGTTTGCACATTAGCTTGTTCTGTGAGTAGCAAGCAATGTCTTTTTTGCACATTCAGCCTGTTTGGCTTTTTTCTTTTCTCCAAAATCAGCTCAAACTAAGTACCAAACAGAGATCTGAGTGGTGAGTGAAAGAGCTAATAAGGTTTCTCCTGAATGTGGTGGAGAGGCTCTCTGTTCTCGTTCTGCTTTTCCAACGTGGACAGCATCCTGCACAATGCCACAGGTTTCCCATTTTGTGAGAAGCAATGAACTTTTTAATAGATATTCTGTCCAGTTTTTTTTTTTTAAATTGCAAAAAATGCAAAACACCGCCAACTTCTCTGGGCTCAAGTTCATCTGAAATGGACTGATGCACAGTGGCGACATGTATTGCGGTCTGACGATACAACCTTTCAGACTGTTTATGCAGATAACGGATATCTTGTTCTTTTGGCCAAAGAACAAAAAGATCACCCAGATTGTTACCAGCGTAAAATTCAAATGGCAGTCTGGCGTCATATGGGGGTGTAAAAATGCCCAAGGCGTGGGTAACTTGCATGTCTGTGAAAACACCATTAACACAGATAAACAGATATATACATATTTTGGAGCAACATATGCTGTTTTTAGATCTTTTTCAGGGACGTCCATGCTTGTTTCAACAAGACAATGCCAAGCCTCTTTCGGCACGTTACAACAGTCAGGCTGTATAACCGAATAGTGTGGGCGCAAGGCTGGCCTGCCTGTCGCCTACTGAAAACTTAGTGCATCGTGAAGTACAAAATACGACAACGAAGACCCCCGTGTGGCTGAAGTCTTGTATAACTGAAGAATTGCAAAAAATTCAAAATTAACTGGTGTCTTCAGTCCCCAATCATATTAAGTGTTGTTAAAAGGAAAGCAGATGTAACACAGTGGTAAACATGTTTCTGTCCCAACTTTTTTTAAACTGTGTTGCAGTTATTATACTTGGAATGGGCATACAATTACATAAATCAAATATGTTTTTGAACTGTTTTCAATTTAATACAGGTCTAACAGAATCAGTTTTCTGGTTTTATTAGCATTTCACACACTGTCCCAACTTGTTTGGAATTGGGTTTGTATTAC